ATCCAAAGTACTCATTACAACAATAGGAAGAGATGAAAAGAGAAATTGTAAGGTTGAGGAAATGGATTGGAACCAAATAATACTGCTGCAGACCTAGCAAATAAATTAGAAATGAAAAAGCACTGTAGACACAATAGAGGGGTTCCTGGCATTAAGGAAAGACTTAAAACAAAACAATCACCATGAACACAGCAAAATCTACAAAGACTTAAGACAAGTATAGAGCCAATAAGGTGAACATATCAACATGATAGAAAATATCGTTCATTGTCCCTTCAACAGCATATTCAACAATAGAAGATAGAAATTATCCAGGCATATAATAAAATTGTTTCACTGAAATGAAGGGCAAAGCCTTCCATTGAAAGGGTGTGCCATATACCAAGAATCCTTTTAACATAAAAGAATAGACATGATGAAGTTATTTAACTTTAGGTATAAAGAGGATTTCTTGAGACATCCAGGCAGAAACAGGAAGCCGCCTACAAGGGGCAGTGGTCAGGCTGGCCTGCTACTTCTGTGCAGAACACAAGAAAATGGGATCTCCCACGTTCTGAAGGGAGCAAGTGGCACCAAATGTCATCCTATCAAGTCAGATTGTCATTGCAGCTGGAAGTCAAAAGGCAGGTCTTTTTAATACACAACAGCAAAATAACTAGTAAGAAAGGGGGAAAAGCTAGAAAAGTAAAGGAAATAAAAGGGGAAGAGGAGGAAGGCAGATGGGAAGCAAGGCAGGCGGGCGGAAAAGAGAGAAGTCAAACCCGTGAATGTCTTCAACATGCACACTCCATTCCTTGACACCAGGCAGTCAAGAGATGAATGGAAGCCATCTAATTTCCCCATCAACTTCTTTTTCTGAGATTGTCAAGAATCAGACTTAGATTTCAGAAGACCCTACCTGCTTGACGGCATTGAAAGGTTGGGGACAAGTGAGTGGGAAAATGAAACAAGGGTGAAAATAAAACTTGATTAAGTTGACACTTTGGCATCAGGCGAACCCCTCTTTGTGCTCATTGACAGAGGAGTCAGAGAGAAAAAGTAGGCCAAGGCTGCCCCCCAGAACCTGATCTATTCTCTTCCAGAACTATCATCGCTCCTCCAGCCCCATCCCTTGCACACAGCCCTGGGTACTTTTGTTTATTTGATTGGTTTGTTTGCCTCGGGCTCACTTTATATTCTCATGCCACTGTGGTTTTTCAGGTTGAGTAATTTATGGCTTAAAGCTCAATATTTGCTAGCAACCTGTTCTTTAAAATGTACAGCTGCATCGGGAACATTATACTTTTTTGCATTAAAACTAGATTTCCATTCGGGACTGACTCAGTGATTTTAGGCAATTATATATGAATCTCTTTGAGTTTGGCTCCCTTCTTTGCTGAACAGTATTAATCATCCTAAATTTGCTCTACTTGGTCCTATCAAGTGCCTGGCTCAAACAGAATCACCGGGTCAGAAAAAATGAGAATGTTCACGCCTTGTGAAGAATGTAACCCATGTCACAGAACGCTTTGGGTAGTAATTATTGAATGGGAAACTGAGCTGCTGGGCAAGCCTTTACCAAAGGTGCAATAAAGTTGAGTACCCCCGTAAGATGAAGTGCCTGACTCAAAAGGGGCGCACCAGGAAGTGACATGGATGGGGATCGTTTTACTTTGGGGGGTTTTAATGCTTCTATGACACAGTAGCAATCTTGATTGTTAAACCCCCAACTGTTGGGGTGGAGCTCTTGTCCATTGTACGGCACCTTGCTTTGTGGGGTTCCATGATGTATTTGGGTTTGTCGACTTGAGATTGGAGCTGCAGGAGCCAAATTGCTAACCTGTGAAAGGGAAGGAAAATAGAGGGAGGGCTCAGGGGCCAAGAATCCTAGCAAGGGAAACAAGGGCATCTGGGAGGACCCCGGAGGGGACCCCGGAGGGGACCCAGCTAAGAAGGGATTTTGAAGGCAACGGGGAGAATATGAATTTTTACATTGCTTTTCTGTGAGGTCTTCACTTCACTGCCCTTTTTGCCCACTCTGGGACAAATACATATATATATATATATACTTCAGAGGTAGACTAGACGTTGCTCAAATACATATATATATATGTATATATATATATATATATACTTCAGAGGTAGACTAGACGTTGCTCATTCATGATTTTTGTGTGATTGGGTTTGGTGGTGAGGCAGGGGACCCAAAGGAGGGGCTCGGTTTTGCTTCCAGGTTGATGCTGCAGCATCCAGTCATGTGAGCTGACACAAGAATTGCAGGACTCAGGGAGAGCGCTATCTGGATGTTGTGTGGACTTTCACAGATATTTGCCATCTGTCCTTTTTTTTTTTTTTTTTTCCAGGAAGCCTCAAGTCTAGGTAGATATGAAGTCTCTCAGGTTATAGAAATCTGAAAGGTTCTTTCCACAATAGCAGAAAAGTCAGAGTACAGGGAGCAGACCGGCATTTGCCAGCATCTTAAGGCAGACGTCCTCTGCCACCCAGCTCCCATCAATATCAGAACCAGGCCAGGCCTGTGTTGCTTATGAATCCAAGATCTCCATTTGGAAGTGCCAGAGTCCACTCTGAGTTCCCTGCTAACCAAGGCCCTAGCTTACTCCTTCCCTGAGGGGCACTGTCTTCCATCCCTAAATGCCTGTGTGCTCCCTCTCAATCCCTCAAGACTTCTTATGCATGGCTTTTGAAGCTGTGGCCCTCCTATATTCCTTAGTGGCAGTGTTCATGTGCAGTGAGCACCAGCTTCCTGGGCTGCGAGTAAGGAGATCAGGGTTTACAGACGCCCTGGTTGGTAGCGTGATTGGTGTTCCCTGTGTCCTTTAATGATTTGACCATCTATCCACCGAGTCACCTATGGTTTAACACAGGTGCAAAATGAACTTCAAAGGACCACAGGTTGGGACTTTCCTATAAGCTAGTTTTCTGTGGTGACCTCATCTAAGGAGAGGTCATGATTCTCCGCTGACTCCTCTGGAAGCCTATTCATAACTGATACTTATCCTTGAATGTCTGGCTTTTTAGAACCCTGGATTCATTCTTAAGTCCTCCCCCTCCTTAACTGTAATATCACACACATAGGTCCCCTGCCATTTACTGGCTTAGAGGAGTCCTAACTGCCTTGGGGCTAGATGGTTGTACTAGACTGTTTGCCTGCCTCCATCCTCTTCTCTCTCCAGATAAATCTGATTACTCCTCTGATTATAAAGCTTCAGGAGATGCTTATAGCAAAATAAGAACTCCTTGGTATGGAATGCACACACATTCAAGGATAACTACCATGTATGGATCGGTTGCCAAGGGAATCAGAGCAGAACCCTAACATCTGATAATAGTGTCTGCTACATCAGTGCCAGCATCCGCCACTCTCAGGCAGCCCCCATCCTCACTGAGCAGCACATTTTGCCCAGAACATTCCGGCTTTAGGCCTTTCTCCTATTGATCCTCTCTCCTTCCTTCTCCATCTGGACAGTTACTCATAACTCCAATCTCACTATCGATTTGCTACTCTGATATGTCCAGGTACCCCAATTCTGGAGCTCCTCAATGCGCTGTCTTGGGCCCTGCCATGTCAAAGCGATATACTGTTTCCTAGGCAGTGTCACCCATATCAGGGCAGCAAGCATAGTTAACACACATAGGATCCACAAATTTACATCCCTGAGACAGACTTTGCTTCCAAGTTCCAGTTTCATATATCTGACAACCTAAAAACCATCTCAAGTTAACAAATCCCAAATGAAAACTCACTGTCTTTCTTCTCTGCCCAAACTGGCCCTCATGCCGTGTTCCTTATCCCTGTGACTGGCACCACCGTCCAGCTACCAGTGATACAAGTCAGAAACCTAGGGATCGTGCTAGACCCACCACCTTCTCACCTGTCATTTTATACCCTCATATCAGAGTAGCCTCATTACCTTCTCAATAGCTGTTGGCTCTTTGTGTAATTCTCTCCACTTCCACTGCCACCACCTTGGTCAAAGATACCATTGAACGCTTCCCTTAACTAGTGCAATAGCACCGTGGTTGACCTCCCTACTTCCATTTTGCCTTCCTTCCGATCTGTTCTCCAGAGGGCACAGTCTTCTGTTTCCCACACAAATTCAATTATGTTCTCAGACTAGCGACCCTATAGGACAGGATAGAGCTGCCCTGTTTCTGAGACAGTTACTCTTTATGGTAGTAGAAAGCCTCATTTTTCTTCTGAGGACCGGTTGGTGGTTTTGAACTACTGACCTTGCAGTTAGCAGCCCAACGTGTAACCGCTACGCCACCAGGGCTCCCAGTTCAACACCTTATCATGGCTAGAGTAGAAATACTTCAGGGTACTGCATGGCTCATCGTTCAATCACACTGGACTTCGCCCTACTGTGGGAGCTGGAGACAGATAGGTTTTTCTGTTTGGAAACGTCTGTGTTCTCATCTTCACTTGGCTAACCAAACCCTGCTTCCTACCACACGAAGCAAAGGGAAAGGGAAGCTATCGCCTCTCCCCACACCCAAGCAAACGCATGGCTTAAATGTAGACAAGCAAACACATCTTGAACGAATGTTGCAAGATCACAGGGTAGATTAGAACCTATTTTGGGCTACAGCAAGGTTGAGAGTCTGATGTCATGGTAGCAAGTATCCAGGGGTGGAATGATGCTGGTCAGTACTCAGTGGTGAGACCCCCCTATCAGGGCAGGTCTTAGTTCCTGTAGCAGACACTTGGGTGTAGAAGCCACTTGCTTCCTGCCTCAGAGCTTCGACATGACCGTCAGTTCTATGAGCCATATACTCTTGCAAGAAGTTAGTTTTCTGCTTGACTTAACCTTTTCATGCCCGAATTATTTTGTTTGTTACATTTAGTTGACACAGGTGTTTGTTTTTTATTTTTCGGTAATGGAATGCATGCTGAATAACAGAGTAACGTTAAAATTTTGTGAGGTAAAAAATAGTATGGGGGAGGCATGTGTCCCCTGGACTTTGGAGGCAGACTAAATTGGAAGAAAAAAACCATTCTTCTGCTCGCTTCAGCAGCACATAGACTAAAATTGGAAAGATACAGAGATTAGTGTGGCCCCTGTGCAAGGATGACAAGCAAATTCATGAAGCATCCCATTAAAAAAACATATTCTTAGAAAATGTTTATTTTATTGTGTGAAGTTTTTAGAAAATGAATTAACACCTAAAAGCATTCTGCACTGGCAATTTGGGTCTCCTTCCGACCACTGCTTTCCTGCATCACCTACTAGATCCCTGGACCGGTAGTGCTTTGTACCTTTGCGGGTCACTTGGCACCCTGTTTTCTCCTGGCTCATTCTGCACAAGACATGAAAGTCTGCCTTGTCTTTAGATTTCCCAGCCACCGGCCACCGTACTACCCAAAGGGAGCCAATCAGAAGGAGACCTGGGCACATCTGCCCCATGGAAGTACATGGTCCTGTAAACAAAAAATCAAACAAGGCTTATTTAGACCCGTGGAGAGAGGGGGTGGGGTAGCGGCTGGTAACCTCCATAGGAGGAGCAGGTGAGTTGGGTAAAGATGCGGTATTGGACCTGAAAATACGTTCTTCACTTGCAAAGTGCATCGCCACCCCAAAACACAACTGACAAAGACACAGGAAAATGTACATAGACGTGTATTTTACAAGGCTGACTTCACTGTACAAAAGCCAAAGGTTTTATGTGTTCATACCTCCGGGCTGCCCCCCTTCATTCAGGATTCTTTGAACACCACAATATGGTGCCACTGAACCCGCCTTTCATGATCAAACTTACCATGGATGCGCGGGCCAGGAAAAGGCAGGCACCGATGTCTCCTAGTCTCCTTCATCAGCAATTCTGGAGAGGCCTGATAATGGCAACCACCCCGCTCTGGTTTCTAAATACTATTTTTTTTGCAGTTATTATAATCATCTCATCTTAGTTACAGAGACTGTTTTAATTGGGTGGTTCTGACTTGTTTGGAGTTGTCATAATTCAGATAGCATAGCAGAATTAACTTCTTAGGGATTTTGAAATGTGTGTCTTAAAATAGAGCTGAAAAAAATGAGGGAGAGAATCTGTGTTGGCTTAAAATCCACTCGGAGCAAAAGGGAGACTTACAGCGTGGGCTGCTTTCTGGACTCCCGCACGACATCACTGCTGATTCTGCACTCTGGGGCTGTCATGTCCGCGTTTCCAGCTTGTTCGTTTTCAACGATCTGTTCCGAACAAACTGGTCTCTGGTAAGAAAATTTGGAGCTCAATCCTTTAACCCAAACAGCTCCCCTGTCAACCTAAAACCAGACACTCGCCACCTCAATACTATTTTCTGAAAACCAGCTACAATGGATAACGAAGTGCCCTGGATCCTTGAAAAGGTCTGAGGGTTCTGTTCCTCAGAAAGTCTGCTCCTCTCTAGCTTTGTAAGACTTTGAAACAGAGCCATCTACTGGAATCCCCTAAGTATGAAGCCAGAGCGCTCCCGTAAGCGCCTCCTTCCATTCAAGTATTTAAAATTATCCTTTTTAGTTCTTCTCAATCCAAATGAACTCTCCCTGATGTACATAGTGGTAAGAAGTAAAGATCTTTCCACTTAAATTCCTGCGCTGATTTATTTGGTAATATCTTATGTTGTGAGTAGACTATTCAGTTTCTAGAAGTTCTAAGGTATTTGCTTTTTCCCTTTCCTGTGAGAAACAGCCCTTTCCCACTTGCTTCCCTCTCCAGCATTAAACCTTCCTGGAGAATTAAGAATTGCATATGTGAGACGCACTGTGAATGATACAAGAATTTTATGCTTAAGAGCCCCAATAAATTGATCTATTAAAACAAAAGGAATCGTATGCCACAGGATCCAGGTGTATGTTATAGATGTAACTAGCCTGCACATGACACCTAAACCCACTGGTGGCACGCATCCTCGGTGTCCAAGGGTGTTCGCAGGGGCTGACTGGAGAGGACAGGTCTCTAAGGAACGGTACAGGTGACTCTCCAGCCAAACAGGATGGAGAGTATGCTTACAGAGTGCATTTCATTGTCCTCCTGGCAACAGAGCTAAATTATATTTCCCAGCACCCCCTGCAGTCAATGGGACCCTCTGATTGCATTTTGGCAAATGAAATTGAATGGAAGAGACAAACACTCATTTTGGTACTGGCTCCTAAAACACTTTGTAGCTTCTTTCAGGGTTGGATTTAAAAAAATTTTTTTGGTCTTCCCTTCCCAAACATCCCATGGATGTCAGGCGTTTACTGATGGCAAGTATTTGCCCAGGTGGGACACAGGACCACCGACCAGCCAGGGACCTGTGTGGAGCCCGCTCCCACCCCTGGGTCTCCTCAACCTGCAGTGGACTGGGATGTCATGAAATAACGCTTTTATCATTTTTAGCCACTGGGAGGTGGGAGTTGTTATCGCCAGAGAATGACTGGAGGGAGGAAACAGCAGGAAGACGGGAAAGAGGTGGATGTGGGAGAAGGATAACAAGGTCTGGATTTTCTTCAGAGATAGTTGCATTCAGTGAACATTCCTACTTTTTCTGCAGAGTTCAACGTGAGCAGAGTGGGCACGTGGCTGGGAAATACTGAAAACGTGCAGCAGATCCCGGAAGAGCTGGAAGTGGAACCACAAGTGCTTTCTGACAGGCAGGCAGGCTTGGGGAGATGAAGCTTAGAGGGAGAGGCTGCCCACAGCTGTAGACGTGTGTGTGTGTGTGTGTGTGTGTGTGTGTGTGTGTGTGTGTGGGGTGTCTATGAAATGAGAGATTTGGGGACAAGGTCTTGTCAGCTTTGGCCACCAGACATTCACTAATGTTATTCTGTATTATTTCATGCACATCAAAGCTTAACTAAATCTATTGCAAGATGCTGTGCATAATTTGGTACATGCCTATTTCATATGAACATTTTGGGTGTATTCCACTTACAGAGAATGAGTGTTAGTAAATATTTTATCGGAGCCATTTGTGGAAGTGATGCTTGGTACAGAAGGTGTTACACACCAGGAGTACTTGGGACCAGGGCTTCTTACATTTTTTCCACTAGAGATGTGTTGAAATTTACAACGTGGGCAACAGCTGCCAGAAATGCCTCGGACTCATCGCGTGTTTGATTGGAATGAATTTTTGGTTGTTGTGCGTTCAGAAACCTTTTACTGTTGCCAAACTTTTCACGAACCTCACCTTCAGTTACCCCAGACAGGGTCGAGAGCCACAGTTTAAGACACTTTTCTTTAGACAGACAGGAGAAATGGAAATCACTGGGCAGTGGAGGTCAATGGTTGGCAAAGAAGGTGGGACTTGGGCTAACCTGTCGATTGGCAGAGAGGAAGAAGGCAGGCATGGCTGGTGTCAGCAGGCAAAGCGAGAGGAGTGAGGACGGTGACCCTGGTAGGGGGAAGACATTGGAATCATAGGGTTCAGGTAGGAGATGAGAGTGAGATTAAGTAATGTAGGCCTGATACCCGATCCCATCGACACCTCATGATCACACAGGCTGATGTGCTTCTTCCATGTAGACTTTGTTGCTTCTCAGCTAGATGGCCGCTTGTTTATCTTCAAGCCTTTAAGGCCCCAGATTCTAGACCCAGGATAAAAAATCATATCAATGTGAATGAGGGGGAGTGTGGAGTGGAGACCCAAAGCCCATCTATAGACAATTGACTCTTGCAGAAGGGTCACAAAGAAGAAACAAGCCAGTCAGGGTGCAGTATAGCACCGATGAAACATACAACTTTCCTCTAGTTCTTTAATGCTTCCTCCCCTCCACTATCTTTTTTTTTTTTTGGTACATGACCCCAATTCTACCTTACAAATCCGGCTAGACCAGAGCATGTACACGGGTACAGATAAAAGCGGGAAACATAGGGAACTCAGACAGATAAACCCCTTGGGAATTTTTTTTTTTTTTAAGAAAATAAATTTTTATTTTTTTTATTTTTATTTTTTGAACATTTTATTAGGGGCTCATACAACTGTTATCCCAATCCATACACACATCAATTGTGTAAAGCGCATTTGTACATCATTTCTCAAAACATTTTCTCTCCATTTAAACCCCCCGACATTAGGTCCACCCCTTGGGAATATTGATAGTAGCAATACCAGGAAGGTAAGGGGAAGGTGGGGGGAGAAAGGAGGAGCAGCTCACAATGATTTACATATAACCCCCTCCCAGGGGGATGGACAATAGAAAAGTGGTTGAAGGGAGACATTGGTCAGTGTAAGACATGAGAAAAAAAATTTTTATAAATTTTCAAAGGTGAGGGAGGGTGGGAGGGTGGAGGAGGGAGGGGAAAATGCTCTTGATACCAAGGGCTTAAGTAGAAAGAAAATGTTTTGAAATTATGATGGTAACAAATGTACAAATGTGCTGGACACAATGGATGGATGGATGGATTGTGATAAGAGCTGTATGAGCCCCCAGTAAAATGATTTTTTTAAAAAAGTAGTGTAGGCAAGATGAAGGCAGGTTACCAAGAGCCTTGAAAACCATCCTGACAAGCCAGAGCTCAAACCAACCCAAAATGATGAACAAATAGACCAACAAGACCTGCACAATCATTTGTTCTGGTACCAGCCATCATTCCCTCTTCCCCGTGGCATACTCATGGGCATTTAAAGCTGGGAGAGGGTATGACTGATCACCCTGCTCCTGAAGCTAAAAGTTCAGAGAGGATTAAAAGCACCTGTCTGTGTTTCTTGCTGTAAACACTTCTCCTTGCGTGGCTGGCATGTCACCATCCCTGTCTCACCCTCAAGATCCAGGTCTATCGACTTCTCTACTCCGAAGCCTCCCCCAAGGCCCATGCTCCTCACTCCCTCCCTTGTGCAGCCACCTGTCAAACCACCATTCGCCTCTGCCTGTGGCAAGTACTTGCTCTTCACCTGGCTCCCACACGGAGCTGGGGATTCCTTGGGGGCAAGCAAGGACAATGCCCCACCTAGCTCTCTATCCCTCACACCGTGCCCAGCACATGGAGGCCTTCAAGGCTAATGCACAGAGGGAGGGGTAAGTGAAAAGCAGATAGGTTTGTTTTCTTCTGAGGAGGTATTCGTAGCCATTATAGCGACACCCATGTGTCTATATATTTGTTCCTTTTATTAGATTATCAGGCCCTTGGAGTCTTGTTCATGAGTTTATT